ATCCTGTGGCATGGTGTGTCCTGCTCCGTTCTCGTGCCGCGTCCCAACTTCTGTGGCCGGCGACTCGGTCGCCAGCACCGACGAAAACGTCAGGAGACTGAAAAAAAAAGAATCTCCTCTTCAAATGGCTTCCATTTTAATATATATATAAACTCACATTATGCAGGAATACAATTTTATATACCTTTCTTTAACTAAAAAATAACTTTAGCCAACTAAGGCTCATTTTCTGGTCTCGTGTTTTCTCAGTATGAATTCTACTTTTAGTATATTTAGCTATATTAGATATATATGGCACCTGTTCTACAATTTAATTTATGGACAGTTCTTTGATAGAGAGTTAAGTTGTAATCTAAAATTGGTAAACCTAATTGATAAACATGTAAACATAAAGTATTATCTTAAAAGATATAAATGATTGACTTCAGACATTTTTTGTTGGCAGAACTGGGTAATATTTTTTCTCTGTATACCAGCCACATTGGCTGCCACATATACGTGCAAAATAGTTGCAGTTGGTCCTTGCCACTCACACACGCACACACACAGCCAGCAAAACTCCTCTCGTTTTTCATGTGTTGCAAGGTGCACAATAGTGCTGGATGGGGGAAAATTGTCGAAAATTGTGGAAAATGGGGGCCATGGCATGTGGCAAGTGTGTCAGCAGAGGGGAAGGTGCAGACGGCAGGACATATTAAGGGGCGTGGCGACATTCCATTTATTATAAATAGGCAAGTGCTGAGAGGCTTGACTTTCCGTGCCTATTTTACATCTTTTTTGGCCTGTGACGTCAGTGGGCGATTTGCGATTAATCCACAAATTGACAGCACTCAGTACCAGTACAGTGCGTTTCATAGGTGTTCGTTTGTTGTGCACAATGTGCAATGATTTGATGGGCTTTGATGACCCGCCTCTCAATCATCTTCATGAACAAATCGAATTCGGAATGTATAGTTAAATTTCAAATCCAATCTGCTGGAGTTCATAGAAACCATTTCATTATACTGTTGCTGTTATGATTACTTATTTTCCCCAATTATACATATTAAATATTCCAAGCCCACAGGAAGTTGCAACTTTATCACAGGGTTATTATTGTTTGCTGTAAGACAATCTTTTCTTTGGTGCATTGTGCGAGCATCATCCTCGGCTCATTAGCCATCCAAAAGAGATGGCTTAACTTTGGATCAGCTCCCTGAATTTGCGTCCATTATCCCTGTGGCAAACACGGAGCTGCAAGTTGCAGTTAATTATATGCATTATAAGCGAAAGGCAGCAGAAGCAGGCGCAGGACAGGCGGCACATGACGGGGTAAGCCAGCCAATGAAGGGTGTAAAACGGGGCGGCATTGTTGGCAAACTTGATGTCGGTCTTCAGCAGCCAGTCCCTCCACTCTCCTCCAAAATCCATCTGCTGACCCTCCTGGCTCCAACTGGGCCACTGGGGCAGCTTGCTCCTCCTGTCCTTTTACACTAAGAAAAAATCGCATTAAGTAAACAAATAACTTACTCTCTGAAATAACTCTACATCGGGACCTCACACATAAACGCTGTGTTTACAAAATGTACAAGTAGTCGCGACTGATTACATTTGATTCTATTTAAACGATTTTTAACAACGGCTAAAGCCACTAGGTTAATTGAAAAAAAAAAAATATGTTAAAAACAAAACAAGAACTTTAATCAATCCAATTTTTATTGGAACTTCTGTTCAAAAGTTAAATGTCGGCACGCATTTACCAGTAAATCCGCGTATCAAACTCCATATAGAATGGCTTAAAATCAAATTTAAAATAAAACATAATCAAGAAAGAATCGCCTTTAATTTAAGAAATACAGCATTCGTCTCTTCTTCTCCAATGCAGGTTTTTTTTACCAAATATACCTTTAATGGTAAATTTTCTTAAATACAACTAAACTTTTCTATTTTAAAGAACAATTTTCTTGGAATCGATGGCGTATTAAAGGGCGATTTTTTCTCGAGTGTAGATCCTATTGCTTCTCCAGCTCCTTTTGCTTCCCCTACTCCTTCCGCTCCTCCTTCGCCGCACATTAAAGCCAGAAAATTCATAAATGCCTGAGAGCGCTACTCGCTTACACTGGAGTGTTCGTTGGCCCTCTAATAAGCACTTACGCCAGCAGCAACATCGCATCATTGGCAACATAGTCCATAGACCATGGGTCCATGGCAACAACAACGACGACGACAACAACAACAACAACAACAAGAGCTACAAAAACAACAAAGAGAACTTAACGACCAGGACAAAGAAGCTGTCGCTGCCGTTCCTTGAATTTTAATGAAATTAAAGATTACTGAGCTCAGCCAGCACAGAGCCCAGAAACACAGAAGCACAGAAGCACAGAAACGCAGAGATTGTCCTGCAGAGCCAACGAAATACGAATGCCAATGCCAGTCCAGATATTTCCAGCAGTGCAACAGTTGCGGCACTTTTCTAAAAAACTTTGGAGGGGGATTACACCTGGGCAGGGCAAAAACTTTTGACTCGGGGAAGAAATTGAATATGAAATGCTTTCATCGCAAAAGCCCCATCATAATTGCAGTTTTTGCCATTCGGCTGGGGTTATTTAACTCAGTTTAGAGGTAATTCAAAAATGAGAATTACAGGAAATTGCGAATGGAATTGGGGTGATATAATAAGCAGATAGCTTTAGTGGGCATTACTGTGAGTCGAGAATGAAGACCGTTTACCAAGAATTGCTAGTTATTTGAAAAAGTTTAGAGGTAATTTCTTGAAGAAAATCCTTGTATTATATAATTTGTTGTAGGGGCTAATTTTCCTAAAAATTATCAAGGGCAAATTACACTACAAGTTTGAGTTTCTTTACAGCTTAGGAGTTTATAGAGGGGCCTACATTTGCAGTAATTAATTAATTTTGAATAAAAATATTTCGATATAAATAAGAGTTCCTATACTATTATATTTATGGGGATATAAAAGCTTTTTAGAAAATTGAAAGGGATTCACCAATTTTTTTTTGAAAAAATTATAATAAATTATAATAATGGAACCTTAAATATAAAAATATTTAACTGAATTCCAATTTGTTAAATGTTAGTTAATTATGAAAAATCTTGTTTACAATATTTATGTCTCAATTTATCGAAACCACGTGTCTGTCTTGACTTTTTGCAGCATTTCCCTTTCTGAAAATCTTTTATCTAGCTGTTGCACTTAAGCATAAGCTAAACTCAGAAACTTTTTTTTTGTTATAATTGAGTTTAATAGCTGCATTAAGTCAGCTTTTTGTTTAGCCCTTAACCTTAGAATGCAAACATCTCGTTGCAATGCCAGGGCTAATGATTTCATCCTTGAGATGTGACTCCTTTTGACTGGCATTTGCCTGATGCCAGCTATTCATAATCCTCATGTTTCAGTTCCTGCCGTACTCCTCGGCATGCTGTGAACTTAATTCGGCTCTCAATCCGATCCTGATGAGTCTGTTCCTGTGTTTTCGTCTGCCTGCCTGGCTGCCTGGCACGTTCCTTGGGAACCAGGAATCCCTCTTCATCCGCCTCCTGAATGCTCGTTGAACTTCCTGCACTTTGTAATTAGTGCGTGTTGGACATGGGAATCAACTTTGCTGCCAACTTTGTTCGGCTGTCTTCCTTAATTAGTCAATTTGTTGCTGCTGCACTTTGCAGACACTCCTCCGGTTAATTCACGGGATTTTATTGTGGCCCCTTTTCAGGCTTAAGCTGGCCCTGATAATTGGCTAATCGAATTGTGTAATTGAGGCAGCTAATTGATGGCAGGCAGGCAGGTTGACTGCTCATTAGGGTGCACTTAATGGGGGATTGGATGTGATTTTGCCTCTCTAAAGAGTTATGTGTGCGAGTTATGGCATTAATCGGGGCAAAAGATTTGCCATTTGGCATGGTATGTATACGTACGGAGATGTAACCCCAGATAAGAGCCAGGATTGTATAAAACAATGCACACATTACGCATACGCCCAGTTGTCTGTTCGCATATCATAATTAATTGCGAAACTTGCGCAAACTTTGCACAACTTCTGCATAGATGCACAAATCAATGCAATGGGAGGGAGTTTTCCAAGTAATTTCACGTTGCGTATACTTAATGTTACCAAATTTAAATTGCATAAACTGCCTTATTAATCCAACTTGACAGCCAATTTGTATGTGGCACATGGCATGTGTGTGTGTGCAGGCAACAAGATAAAGGACTCGAATCAACATTGTTCGATTTAAGTTAAATTTACTGAAATGGCTTCATGCTTCAAATGATTTCCTGAATTAAAAACCGTCATTAATTTGTCATCGGACCAATTAGCAAACCAAATAATTACATTGTGTAGGATTGTATTCTTTTTCTATGTCCTTGTAATGTGGTCCTAATGCTTTTTACACCATTTTAATTGCTTTTCAATAGCTTTAAATTTTTGATTTTTGCTCAGAAATTTGTAAACGCCTGGTAAATAAATTCGAATTTATTTTCAGTTTGCTTTTGGTCTGTCAATGGATGTATTTATTTAATTCCTGTTGTTTTTCAACTTATTACTTATAATGTTATTTTTGAATTTATATTTTTTAATATGTTGATAAGAGTCTTATTAAACTTAGGGATATTATGTTTTTTTTATGTGTATTGCAATTCACTTACAATTTTTGTATTTGTTAGTAGACTTAAATGTATTTTGGTAGGTTCATAAACAACACTATTTAAAATATGCCACCATTTGTTTCTATACAGCCAATACATAATAGGTATGCATGTAATCATTTGGGGGCACATGTAATAAAATAGTTTCTTAAACTGAATGTGAATTTTGGCAGCGTATTCATGTTGTCCAACAGCAAACAGAGAGAAGGGAACTAAATTAAAAATATTTTGTTGCATTCTTTTAGTGATTTCTCTATCACCCCCGTATAATTTTTTTAAATTTTAATTACGTTGATATTGCTATCTCTATCTAATGGTTTCTTTTACTCATCTATTTATTCCACACAGTGCCATATGCAACCGATAAGACTGTGTGAATGGTCAAGTGGTCATCAGCATCGAAGCGAATCTCTCTGTCCGCATGTGTGTGAGTGAGTGTGTGTGTGTGTGAGTGCGAGGGAGTAAGTGATTGAGTGAGTGAGCGAGCGAGCGCAAGAGAGAGAGAGTGAGACAGCTTAAAAATGACGGACGCTCGGAGGAGCGGTTATTCCGCTGCGGAATTCGAATGAACCAGACATCCAATACCACCATATAGGATCGGATTTGGGCCACATTTGAAGTTCTGGAGCCAGGAAATAGAAGTCAGAAGCCAGAAGCCAGGAGCACCTCCGCCAGCCATCAATCCTTCAGCTGACAACTGTCATCCGTCAGTTGCACCTGTCAGTTGTCAGAGCAGCGCAGCATCGTCCAGGCCAGCTGTCAGCGGAAGCAGTAGCGGAAACGGAAGTGAAAGTGTAACTGGGAGTGGAAGGACACAGCACACACAGGACACACAGGACACCAGGCCACCAAAACGGGACAGCAGGAGCAGCAGGAACACGAGCAGGAGCAGGAGAGGATTGGGCAGCGCAGGGCGTAGCGTGTAGGCGGCAAAATGCCTGGTGGACGACGTGGACTGGTTGCGCCGCAGAACACATTCCTCGAGAACATCATCCGGCGCTCCAACTCGCAGCGTGAGTATTCCACAAATCTGCCATCTTAGAACATCTTCCCGGGGGACATTCAATCGCTGCGTGGGGTAACACAGCGGGAAGTCAAGGTATTTTGCCAAAAACATCACCGAAATACATGGTTTTGCTTTTATTTATACTTTGGTTCCCATTTATTAAGGCATATTTATGTTCGTTTAAGCCAGAATTCTCTTTACCATAACGCAGTTGGTTTTGTTTTAGAAAAAAAATGATTTGTGACTCAATATCCGGATGAAGGTTTTCTAAAACATTTTATAAATGTTCTTTTACTTTTTCTTCGCTATTTGTATACTTAAAAATATTTAAATTTGTCATAAGAAGAAATAGCTTTATTTACTGAAATGCGAAATTGAGCGAAAATTAATTACAGTATAGAGTTGCAGTTCGAAAGCCTTTTTAAATAGCTTTCAGGCAATTCAATTTATTTTTTTCTTTAATTTTTTTAACAGGCTTTGACTGGTTAACCTCCCCTGTCCCAAAATCAGTAATATTTTTTAAACAACTTTATAAATAAGAGTCAAATGATTCGTGGCTAATCAACCTTTTTTTCATCGACCGAAATCGTCAAAAGTTTTGTAATAGAACGTACTTGGTATTAATTAAAATTAAATTTTGTATTCAATTATAATCTTGAACTTTCAACTGGAAGAGCTGTGATTAAGAAAATACTTATAAAACTTATTGTAAATTAAAATGAACAACTAAATATGCTGAGAAAAGCGTATGTTTCATATTAATTAATTAAACGCTTACTTGAACAGTTTTTAAGATATTTAAATGATTGCTTGATTGATTGACTTTATTTCGCTTTTTGGTCTCAAAAGTTCATAACATAATTAATTTAGATGCACATCTTAATTCAATTAAGTACTCAAATCAAAGTATGATGTATGTGGTAAAATGATATATGTAAATGTTATTCTTATTTCAATTAAGAGCTCAGATCATACATTAAATCAAAATATTAAGTTTACTTTCAATTACCATTAAAGAGAGATTACTAAGGGTTTGAATTTCTCCCCTAAAACGTTAGTTCCATTATTGAAACGAGACAGAGTAGCGAAGAAATTGTTTTCATAGGGTAATTGAAACTCTGTCCGAAATCATGATAATTTCATCTCACATTCGCAAGGACCCTCAACAGAAATGGCCACATTTCGATGCAACGCACATTCGATTCTCCGGTTGCAATCGACATTTCACGCATGCCACACAATTATCGGTGGTAAAGTGGTGAAGGGGCAACCTTTTCGGCCTGGAAAAGTGCGATGGTGTGAAATGAATTTTCCGTTAAGTTGTCAACGTGAACAGGATGCCATATGTGAGTGTGTGAGAGGGGAAGGGGGAAAGGGGAAAAGGAAAAGAGAAAGAGAAAGAAGTAAGGGAAATGAGCTATAAATAGAGCACTCGCACACCATCGAATCGAGAGCAATGGCACACACGCACACGTTTGACCGAGAAATGTCCGGTTCCGTAAAATTGAATTGTTTCACTGTGGCCAAAGGAAAGTGCGGGGAAAAGTGTCAGGGAAAGCAGGGGAAAGTCGGGAAGGTGCTTGGCAATGCGAGTCCCGGCATTGAAACCCGTTTTTGGCCTGCGGTCAATGGCAACACTTTCAATTAGGTATGGGGAAATGGCTTGACACTGAACATGCTCCAACATAAATCGGATTTCGGACAGGTCAACCACGGTCTCAGCTGCAGTCAACTGGGGAGAACATCCTCAGCATCAATGGCATCCATGGCATCCATGGCATCCATGGCATCCATGGCGTCCACATCCATATCAACAGCAGCATAAGCTCCTAAATGTCGCAGCAACTTGAGTTGCCATTTGCCATGTAGCAAAGTACCAAAGCAGCAACAACAGTCATCAGCAATAAGAACCATCAGCGACAACGACAACGACAACGACAACCATCGGCAACACATGGAGCCATAAACAAGACGGCTCACAGCAGCTGAAACTATGGGATAATTAACAAAACCCCCTCCCATTCCCAGCAGAGCTCATTAGGGAATGAGGAGCGACACACACAACTGATGCACTCCATTGCCATGCGACTGACTGAGGCATCCCGGCATTCCATTCCGTTCCGTCCGGCAATGCAAATGGCCGAAAAGTATTCCGGACAACTGCGGTTAATCATGGCCAGAAGAGGAGGAAGCAGGCAGCCCGGCAAAGTGGCTGCACTGATGGATTGATGGATTGACGGAATGATGGAGCGAAAGGGCCGGATGACAGGGCAATGCCGAAATGACACAACAACAGTCCCCCATGAAGATCCAATAAATAAGAAATATCTCATCGATTTGTACACGTACAGCACGCGACTTTCGGAAGATTTTATGATGACGACAAAGAGCAGGTTATACTTGTGGAGGTACCATCATAAGCATGAGTCTATTTGGATCATGAAGATTTGAAAAATTATAATGATACCTTATACAACTTTTGGGAGACCTTAAAGCAACAAATAAAGGAACCTTATTAAACATAAGTCCATTTCAACCACAATATAAAGGTAGTACATGATCAATTTCCACAATTAGAACCTTGAGCAGACTTTATAGTGCCGACAAATAGCAAGTTCTAGTTATAAATGTAACATTGAGTCTATTTAAACTGCAACATTATACTTTGGCAATAACTTATATACATTTAGGTAGTTTTGATTTGTTTTATTTTTGTATAGAGTCAAACATTTTATTTAAGTCATTCCTAACTTTTTCAGTAAATGGACACACAAAGTTCAGTAAAATTGTAATGAATTTTTCGGATATTTCACAAAGTATTTCACCCAATATTTTAAGCTCCATGATCGACCCAACTAGGAGAAATAATGTGAAATATTTAACTTGAGTCCTTTGGAGCCACACATCTTGGTAATATGTAATACCCAATTAAGTCGTTTTTTTTTTTTGGTAATTTGAGTATTTGGACACACAAAGTTTGATTGAATTTTATTTAATTTTGTGGATATTTCACCCAGTATTTTAAGCTCCACTATCGACCCAATTAGGAAAAATAAGATGAAGCATTATTGGGGCTTCCTTCAATTTCACTTTGACAAAAAGCGAGAGATGCTTCCCCACTTCAGCTTCAATTGCAATCCCCGTAAAGGAGCCATCAATAGATTTAGGTTCACCCCATTCCACCGCCCCAATAGGCATAGTTTTCCGTTTTCCGTTCTCCGTTTTCCATACACATTTTCCCGCCCCGGCAACTGTCGAAAGCGGATTACTGGGAAGACGCAAAGCCTTTCCCAAAAGGATTTCGTTCGGCAGCAAAAGTGAGGAGAAAAGTGAAATAGCTTTCAGGTCGCTGAAGGAGAACAAAATTCTGACCTGGAATGGACAGACACAGACACAGATAAAGATACAAATACAGATACACAACAGAGATGCAAATTGAGATGTAGATACAGGCGGAACGTAAACTGGAAATGCCACAAAGGAAATGCACAGGAGACAAGGGGTCGTCGTAAGTGCGGCATATTAAGGCGGGCATGCAAATGGCTGAGGGAAATGGGTCGTCAGGTGAGGCAATAGATTCTAATGTGATTTCCATGCCGAACACAAATAACAACAGGAGCAGATTGAAGTTAAGTAGGGAGCAGATAATGTCCAAGAAAAGGGACCAGGAAAACTCCAGTTAAAGACCTTATTTCATAGCCCTTAACTTAGCCCCAATTCTTTGAATTGATAAGGAATTGAATATATATTGCTGAGACTTGGAATCACTTCTCAAGATTAGTGTCTGCCCATTTTTTTCCAACTTACAATATAAGATGCTAGCAATACTCAGGCAGTTTAATTAATGGGAAAATCCAACTTGGCAAGTAAAGGAATTTTTAAAATATCAATGGGAATATAAGGAAACAATTAAAAATCAGTATTTAAAGACAATAATATATTTTAATTAAATATTATGTGACATACAAAGACCAAAATCAAAAACAAAAAGAGATTTCGTTAAAAAAAGCACAAATTTAAATAATAATACGAAGGTAAAGCTTAATTTCAAAGAAAAACGTTGCAAGATTTTGGTCATTTAAATATTTGAAAGCCAGCAAGTCTCTGGTTCTTCACCCAAAAGTTATCCATCAGGAAAATTTAAGGAGCGTAAATGGTGAAGGGTGGAAGTGAAGCCCACCATTTCGTGGTGTTTGTTTGGGCTGCAAATTTTCGGCCACGTTGGCGATAAACTGACCAAAGACACTGCCCTAAAAGAGCAACTGGCTTGGGCAGATTTTTTAATTAGTTGACTTTATGGCTCACGCTTCCGGGCCTTGCCTTTCCCCTTCTGTTTGGTAGGCGGCCCGTTCGATTCGTCCACAAGTTGCAAATAGGCAAAAATTCGTATGTTTGTCCTTGTTTGGCAACAAACTCATTAAAATTGAACGCAAAGCCTGCGCTGCAAAAAGAAAAGCCCACACTCACATAAAATCACGGGAACAGGGGGGGTCGAAAAACCAAAATCCACAAAAATCCTGACTAGTCCAATGGCAAGCATTTTTCAGTGGTTTATCTGCGGCCTGGAAAAGTGGACAAAGTGGTGCGCAAAAAGAGACAAACAACTTTGCCCTTGTTTTTTCACATTTTTTTTCTTTACCGATTTTTTTTTTTTTTTAGCAACCGCCTCTGTTTGCCTTTTTTGGGCTTGTCACTTTTGCGGTTTGCCTCGCACGTTTATCTCGAGTGCACATTGCTCGCTCATTCCCAGAAACTCGAATCCCCAATTCTCCCCCCATTTGGCATGGCCTTTTTGCCCCTCAGGAGGTCGCAGCTCGACACTTGGCGCGGCTGTTTGATCTTCGTCAGCAAGCCAAACAACATTAGCAACAACAACAACAACACCAGCAGCAGCAGCAGCAAAAAGTGGGCAAAAGTGGACCCGTCACAGGAGCTGGCTCACTTCTCCATTTCCTTCTCGTGCACCTCAAGAAAAATCCAAGAAATCCGTCATTTAAGTTATGCTAG